TAATTTAAATATTAAATAAATGACAATTCATGAAAAATGAAAACTTGATTTAATTACGCGATCGGTATTGTGTATAGATATATATAAGTTAATTTTCTATGAAAATAAGTTATAAAAAAATTTTTTTTATTAATTTAACTTGACGATTATTTGTTAGGAACTATTTTTTATAGATTGCTTGTAATATTGAAAAGTAAACAATTCTAAACTGAATCAATATTAAACTAAATATAAAAATTAAATTTTCTATTTTTATTATTCAATTTATTAAATTCAAAGGATAAAAATAATAAATATACTGTAGAAAGTGTTTAATTTTAAAAAATTGATGGATTATTCCAAAAGGTATATGATCTCTATTTCCTTATTTATATCTTGATTACAAGTTTAATGATTTATAAGTGTAATATCTGAATATATATATATATAATATAATGTGAAAAGGGAAATGATATTATTTAAAAAAAAGTATGACGAATGAAAAAGGTTTATAAATAGTATTTATCATGAAATAATTGTATTGATCCATATATTTTTATATTTTAAAAATATAAAAGCCCAGCACAGGGGGGTCGTAGCACAGTGGTGACGTGGTATTGTTGGATCAAGTATAATGATATCTGACAGTGATTAAAATCACTATCAAAAATAAACGCTTCGATGCAAATCTTTAGATAGTGTTTAATTTTAAAAAAATTGGTGTTTTATTCCAAAAGCTACTTGATCTGCTGGTTCCTTATTAATATCTCGATTAAGATAAAGTATGTCGAATGAAAAAGGGTTTATTAAAAAATATTATTTCTCATAAAAAAATTGTGTTGATCCATAAACTTTTCAATAAGTTATAGCATTATAAAGTTAAAAATATAAAAAATAAAATCGAGAATTTTCACACAAAAATAGAATTTGGTAGCCATTTTTGCCGTGAAGACAATTACAGAGGTCAAATTTTTTTTTTTCAAATTAAAGTATATTACATTAGCTTTAATTTAAGGTATATATAAAAGTGTCTGACTTTCCGGAACATTTTCAAAAGTTAAGTTGAAAAAGTTAATTTTTTGTAAAAAAGTTGTCATTTAAAATCCCCCCTGTGGGCAGGTAAAGGATAAAATTTATAAAAAAAATATACCAAATGATANCTAAGGTATCTATAAAAAAAAAAATTATATTGATTCGGTCATTTTTAAAAAAGTTATGGTAATTTTAAGTAAAAAAAATTGAAAAAATATCGAAAATTAGCGATTTTTAAATTTGTAATTTTTTGGGGGATTTCCCCCGTTTGCAGGGAACGAGGGAATTTTTGAGGGTAATGTCTTCGACTAGATACGATTTGTGATCTTTTGACATATTGCTCATCAAAATCGGTCCAGAAAGTGGAGAGATTGAGCATTAACAGACACAAAAAGCCCAGCACAGGGGGGTCGCGGCACAGTTGTGACGTGGTATAGTTGGATCAAGTATAATGATATCTGACAGTGATTAAAATCACTATCAAAAATAAACGCTTCGATGCAAATCTTTAGATAGTGTTTAATTTTAAAAAAATTGGTGTTTTATTCCAAAAGCTACTTGATCTGCTGGTTCCTTATTAATATCTCGATTAAGATAAAGTATGTCGAATGAAAAAAGGTTTATTAAAAAATATTATTTCTCATAAAAAAATTGTGCGGATCCATAAACTTTTCAATAAGTTATAGCATTACAAAGTTAAATATAATATAAATAATAAAATCGAGAATTCTAACACGAAAATAGCATTCGGTAGCCATTTTCGCCGTGAAGAAAAGTCCAGAGGTCAAATTTTTTTTTTTCAAATTAAAGTATATTACATTAGCTTTAATTTAAGATATATATAAAAGTGTCAGACCTTCCGGAACATTTTCAAAAGTTA